AAAATGGCTATGTTTGTAGTGATTTTATAACATATCCATGTGATAATTTTCGAATAAATAATTATATATATATATATATATATATATATATATATATATATATATTCTGTTGCAGAGCATGTAATAAATAGAAGGAATTGTGTTTTTGATTTTAGTGCGGACCGTTTTTCGATTTTATCTAGGTCTCATTTCACCTAAAGATTCTAGAGTCCTTGTATATCAGATCCCGTGGGCCTTCCCTCTGTAAATAGAGGGAATGCTTGCTGGGTCTGCATGTTAGTGGACTCTAGCTTCCTTGAAATTCATATTTTTTTCCATTCGTTATCATGATATTAATTAAATTGACACGCTTTTTTATATCCCAGAAATAAACTTGATAAGGCTGGGACGAAACAGGTTGTTTTTTTTTAGATTTTAAAATGCCATATAAATGTTGCTTATTCCAAGCTATCGTTAAATTTTTTTGTACCAAAAATATCATATATATATATATATATATATATATATATATATATATATATATATATATATATATATTTAATTACACATGTACATACATGCACACAAATGTTTTATGTATGTATACTGTATATGCACTGTATGTATATACTCTCACACAGCCTCACTAGAAAAAAAATAATTGCTAATAAGTCATTCTCCACTTAAAAATCAAAATGTCCGGCGTGCGCCCCAAGTTCGCACCATTGACCTCTATAGATAATAGATAAAGTGGTTAACAGTATAACAGGTAATATTCATGCATCGAAATTTTATCATTCATCCCTATTTCTGGCGGGTCGATGAGTTTCAAATGAATATTTGGTTCGGCTCTTGATGGGAAATGAGGACATTTGTTTTAACGTGACATTGGCGTAATGTAAATATCAGCTAGACAGTTGAAAACAGAATGCCACACACACACATACACACACACACACACACACACATATATATAGAAATAGAGACCGACAGACAGACAGAGAAATATATAGAGAGAAATGAACAGACTGAGATAGATAACGAGCAACCTTAGATAGATAGATAGATAGATAGATAGATAGATAGATAGATAATGTGCAGTCTCAGATAGATAGATAGATAGATAGATAGATAGATAGATAGATAGATAGATAATGTGCAGTCTCAAATAGATAGATAGATAATGTGAAGTCTCAAATATATAGATAGATAGATAGATAGATAATGCGCAGTCTCAGATAGATAGATAGATAGATAGATAGATAGATAGATAGATAGATAGATAGATAATGTGCAGTCTCAGATAGATAGATAGATAGATAGATAGATAGATAGATAGATAGATAGATAATGTGCAGTCTCAGATAGATAGATAGATAGATAGATAGATAGATAGATAGATAGATAGATAGATAGATAGATAGATAATGTGCAGTCTCAAATAGATAGATAGATAGATAGATAGATAGATAGATAGATAGATATGAACGGAAAAACATAGATGTTATTAATTTTTGATTCAGCAGTTATTCTTTCATCCTCAACAGGAACAACTTCTTGAGCAACAAACAGTACTGATTTCGATCTACCCAGTCCACTGCTGATATCCTAACTGCGATTACTCGCAGAATTAATATGGCACTTGAAAACAAATACATTCGCATCATATATTTGAAAGGCTTTTGACAAGCTGTAGCATAAATCGTTACTACCCAAATTCTCTAGCTTTGGAACCACTGGAAAGGTCTTCTCAGTTATAAAGTTCTTCCTAACGTGTAGGTCTCTGAATGTAGTCGTTAATGGCCAGTCCTCCGAGTTCCAGTCGATCAACGCGGTCGTCTCCCAAGGGCCAGTCCTCTTCCTACTCTACAAAAATAATCTGCCTACGACAATACTCCGACGATTATTTGTAAAAAAAAAAAAAAAAAAAATACAACAAAAAACATGCTGATGAAAACAACGGTATATGGGTTCACCTCCAAGACCGTCGATTGCCAGAGCTTGGAAGCTGATCTCTCTTCTCATCTAGATCTAACATCTCGCTGGGACGAAGGAAACAGTCTGTTCATATTAAATGTCACAGAAAACAAACTATTGACCTTCCACACTTGACGAATCGGAGGCAACGCCTGTTGAGCATCTTTTGGGACTTAAACTCAGTCCTGACTTCCAGTAGAAATCGTACAAACGATCCATCGCTGAAGATACTTGAAAATGGTTGTTTTTCTGTACCGCTCCAGTAAGAACCTGGTTCTTCTTGCTATCCCTTACCGTTACAAAATCGAGGTCAGTCTGAAAATGGAGTACTGAATAGGGATTTACTAGCTGACCTGGTAAACGGGTGTACTCGGAAACGAGTAACCAGCTATATATATATATATATATATATATATATATATATATATATATATATGTGTGTGTGTGTGTGTGTGTGTGTGTGTGTGTGTGTGCGCTTGTGTATGGAGATTTTAAAATTCGATGAACAAAAAAATTTGGGAATAAATGCCCCAAAAATGATAACAATATTCCTAATAAGATTGATAATATTATATATATATATATATATATATATATATATATATATATATATATATATATATATATATATATATATATATAGGGGGTATGTGTGGTGTGTCCCTAGAGAATACTTTTCCGATCTTTACAATTTTAACCTCTCCAAGACTAGTGTTAACCATCTATATATATTTTAACCTCTTCAAGACTAGTATTAACCATATATATATATATATATATAAATTTCGCAGAATTAACCTATAGAAAAGTACAATTAAGGAAATTCGTGTTTAATCTTATAAAAACTTTTCCATTTAAAATAAATACCTTCCACCCTCTCCTGACCGCTACCTAGTGCATATTGTCCGGCTGAAACATTGAAATCGATTAATTCTGTATAGTTTTTTTCGACAGGTTGATTGTTTAGCTTTCATAGTTAAATTCTATTTCCCGCCCCTCCTTCATTGTATAGACACGAACTCAGTTCACACCGGGGTTGATAAGACAGACGACCGATATATTTGTCTGCCGAGATAGCCGATTTCCCATATGAGGTAATTTGGGATTTTATTGTTTTTATTATTATTATTATTATTATTATTATTATTATTATTGTTATTATATATATATATATATATATATATATATATATATATATATATATATATCTTTTATTATTGAGTTTTTAATTCTTTTGTCATTTAATCTATCATTGATGCGTTCTTTCATTCATCAACGTTTTTCTTTTTATTCTTTCATTCTTTTTTAAATAATTTCTTTTTGTTTCTTTCATCTTTTCTTTCTTTATCAATTTAACACTCTCCATTCCATCCATATATATGGATGTGTGTGTGTGTGTGTATGTATTATGCCAATTTTTTTCGTCTCTCGCTCATTTATTTATTTTCTTTATTTTCCTTTTCTCCAATCCATTAAACCTTCTACTGCTCCTTTTACCTTCCTTCATTCTCTTTGGCGCTAAACTCTTCCTTTTTTCATTAATTTTATTTAAAATCTTTTTTTTATCTTCCTTCAGTCCCCTCATATATATATATATATATATATATATATATGTGTGTGTGTGTGTGTGTGTATAAGTCTCTCTCTCTCTCTCTCTCTCTATATATATATATATATATATATATATATATATATATATATATAACATCTTTATGTTATAAATTTTCTAAATAAATAATTATATATATATATATATATATATATATATATATATATATATATATATTATAAATTAATTGATTTAAAATATGGTTTTTTTCGCTACACAGTTCTAACCATGTTTCAAAAATGGAAGCTAAAAGCCCTGAATTTAATTTTGTGATTAAATTAAAGACATTAGTTCCATTTCATCCTCAAGCGAATTTTGGAGTAACTTTTTAAAATTACTGGGTTTTAAATACACAGCTAAAACAAAATTCATGTTTCCAAGGTTACAGATAAATCTATTTTTCTAGACAGGGGTGACTGGGTGTTCAATATGTCTATAATTTAATGTATCAGTTATTGCTACGTTTGGGTCGTGGGAAGGGATGTATTTTTCAATGAAATCTAACATCCGTTAGAACACCGGATTATATATCTTGTTTTTTTCTATATATTTTTATATATATATATATATATATATATATATATATATATATATATATATATATATATATATAAAACAAAACAAAAAGTAGAAAATATTTTAGAAACTGCAAATATTTAAAGTCACAAAATACGTATAATTCTATGGAAACGTTGCAAAAATTGGCCAAAGAAGAAAAGAGTGAATAATACATATTCTTTGACTAACACGTAAGTAAAGAGAGGAAGAGATTTTTTGATTTTTTTTTTGATAAAATTTTGAATGATTTAAAAGAATGGAAGATCAGCAGTACAGAAAGCGATCAACGCGTTTTGAGACTGTCAATGGAACCGATTCAAAAAGAAATGAAATTCAGCGAGATTGTGACGACGTCAGTGTAAAGAAAGAGTTGAGAAAGAGGGAGAAAACTGATTGATGGAATGATGGAATGATTATGAATAGATTGTAGGAAGATTAAAAAACGATTTTAATTAAAATTAAAGAATAAAGGAAGAGTTTAGTAGCAAAGAGAACGAATCAAAATAAGGCGATTGACAGAAGTGGGTTTTATGGATTGGAGAAAAGGGAAATAAAAAAGAAATAAATAAGCGGGAGACGAAAAATTTGCATAATACCCACACACATATATATATATATATATATATACACACACACACACATATATATATATATATATATATATATATATATATATATATATATGCATGTATGTATATATAGGAGAATACAAATATTGATAGAATTTAGCACGCTAGATGGGAAAAGGATGAAAGAAACAAAAAAGAAGGAGGTATAAAAAAAAGGAATGAAATGGTGAATGAAAAAGATAATGAAACAGCGGGAAGAATGAAAAGACGCATGAATGAAATGAAAGACAAAAGAATTAAAAACTGAATTAGAGAAAACGTAGTGGGGAAAGAAAGAAAGAAAGAAAGAAAGAAAGAAAGAAAGAAAGAAAGAAAGACAGAGCAGAAAATGCAAAAAAGAAAACTGGCGAATCAAATAAAGTGAAAGAAATGTGAATAAAAAAAGAAAGAAAGAAAAAGAGACGTGAAAGAAAGAAAGAAAGAAAGAAAGAAAGAAAGAAGCAGGAGACAAAGGCAAAAAAGAAGAAGGATGAATTAAAGAAACTGACAGAAAAGTGAAGAAAAAAGAAAGGAAGTCGTGTGTAAAGAAAGAAAGAAAAAAGAAGAAAGAAAGAAAGAACATATAAAAGGAAGAACGTAATTGAAAGAAGAAAAACTGGAAAAAAGAAAGTCAGAGAATGTTGACGGTTATGAAAGAAAGAAACGACATAAAAATGCGAAATAATCAGAGAGAGTGAGTAGATGTGAGGGAAAAGAAATACAGACGAGGGAGGTAGGCACTATGAGAGCGAGAGAGAGAGAGAGAGAGAGAGAATACGAAGAATGAAAGAAAAAAATAAATAAAAACGATTGCTATAAGCGTGTAAAATACTTATGTGTTTATAGTCAAAACGTCTTTTGTGAAATAGTAATAACATTAAAGCAATAGGAATATTTCCCAAGCAACTGATTGTGAAATGTACAAAAGACGTAGACAGTAAATAAAGCTTTTGAGAATATTACACACACACGCGCGCGCGCACACACACACACACACACACACACACAGATATATATAGATAGATAATGGACTGATAATTTGTAGATTTGTCAATAGAACATCAAGTATAAAGGGAAGCGCAATAGCTTAAGAGCCGCACCCTATCCAAGGGAGATAATTGCTAAGATTTCCAAGTTCTTTGTAAAATGTGGATAGCGACGCTTGATTGGCGTTTTTTTTTGTTTTTGTGTGTGTGTGTGTGTGTGTGTGTGTGTGTGTGTGTGTGTGTGTGTGTGTGTGTGTGTGTGTATGTTTTTTGTTTTTTATCTGCTGCGTCGCCATTTTGAAGAATCTTTTGACGGCGTACAATAGCGTTGGCACTGAAAACACAAAACGACAAACGTTTACAGCGTGTATCGCGCCGAAAAAAACGCAACAAAATAACATGCAACTTCTCTTTAGCGAAAAGCCAGACTCTGATTAAATCCAGTTAAGAGATTCATAAATAAACAGGAATGAAGTGTGCAAGACAGATAATGTCCACGAAAATGTGTACAATAATAACGTCTGCTTTGAGAATCGGTGAAGTCGAGTAATGTTCTATGAAAAGAAATAAAAAAAAAATATCTGGATTACTTCACGGGTCTCTCAGGGAGAAATAACCTAAAAGGAAACGAGAATAATATTTTGTTTAACTAGTCGACCTATGATTAAGGGGAATACATTTTTTTCTTTCTTCTTTCGTTGTATAAAATAAACTCGTTTTATTGTTTTATGTAGTCTAAAAAAATGTTTTTTTTATTATTTTTTTTACTAACTGGACCATATATAGATCTGTATACAAGTATATAGGTGTTCAGATGAACTTCATCGAGATTGGCACCTGTAACCAAGATTTATTTAAACAGAATATAAACGTTAATTCAATTTTCCTACTCGGTATTTTATTAGAAAAACGAAGAAATTTTCTTTTATGAAGAAATTATATTTTGCTCCCCAATATATATATATATATATATATATATATATATATATATATATATATATATATATATATATATATATATATATATATCAATCATATAATGTTAATACGCAAACTCTTTATGATGTTTTGAAGAAAATACTGACGTAATTTTTTCTTTTCAAACGACCCGAAGTATTAATACATTTTTTTCTTTGCCAGAAAAAAAGCGTTACATTCGAAATACCATTATTGCAGGATTTTTTTAAAAACCTTCCCCTGTAGATCTTTTGTATATGAAATGAAAAAAAAAATTCTTACTAAAATCTTAGAAGAATGAAAAACTTAAACAGATCTTTGAGAAATTTAACAGGTTTAAAAATTATTCATTCTTTCTGCCTTTGATTGAATCTGACATGTTTTTATTAAGCAATAATTATTTTAAGAATTGAGAAATATATCTATAATTATTACTTATTATAATTCCTTAACTTTATACAGTCATTATGTTATACCATAATACCTATTCTATTGTAATAGACTCTCCCACAGATAATGTAGTAGTAGCAGTGGCCAGCTGGGCTCAGTGGTGTTGAGCGAGTCAGTCGATGTCGGACATTGAAGTATCAACCATCACAATTAGATTGCTGCGTCATTAACTCTTATTTCAAGTTCCTAACGTTTTGTACGTCGAACCTAATTTAGGACGACTTAGTGAAATACAAGCCTCCACTGTGAAAACTACTCTACAACACATTAGTAGACATTTGATCTGAAATTTTAACTGTATAATCTCCAAACTTTGAGATTAATGGATAAGTTTTGGCTGGAGTAGATATACAAGAGATTATTAAGACATTTTTTATGTTTATACGTTCTTTTTACACATACAAATATTTAAGTAAATGCTCTGTTTATAATAAACAGTATTAATAACATTTACCGACCTGAATGTCCGAGAAATTTTCATAGAAAATATGCGTCCTCCGACAGGAATTGAACCTGTATCCTATACGGAACCGTCATATAACCTGACGTGCCTTAACCGATTGGGCCACAGAGAAGCTTTCGGTTAGCAAGGTTGATCTTACTGTTTTTAAACACAATTCTCCATGATTTTCTCACATTCATTCATATCTGTTCAATGCGTATCCAAATGTAAACAAATGACGTCATAAAAAGAACGTATAAACTTAAGAAAATGTCTTAAAATAATTGTCGGATTTTGTCCATTTCATAATGTACACGAGATTATGTTTAAAATCAAGTAATTATGCACAAAATAAATTATATTTTTTAACTTTAGTCTAAGGATTCATTCATGTAACTACGTAATGACTATTGTTTGATGTATTTAGAAATGTACAGCGCCCAGTTAGGCAATAGTCAGATAGGTTCTCCTTGAAGATAAGGGGATCGAAGGAAGATTAAAAAAAAAAAAGATTTTAAATAAAATTAATAAAAGAAGAGTTTAGCGCCAAAGAGAATAAAAGAAGGTAAAAGGAGCAGTAGAAGGTTTTATGGATTGGAGAAAAGGAAAATAAATTGGCATAATGCACACACACACACACACACACACACACACACACACACACGCACGCACGCACGCACGCACACACACGTTGAGGAATGAAAGGGCATATCAATGATAGATTGAATGACAAAAGAATTAAAACCTCAATAATAAAAGAAATAAACAGAGGAAACATAGGTAGGATAAAAGAAAGAAAGAAAGAAAGAAAGAAAGAAGAGGTAAGTGGGAAGAAAGAAAGAAACAAACAAACAAACAAACAAACAAAAAAGAATTAGAAAAAAAGAAAAAAGAAAGACGAAACAAATGTGAAAAATAAAAAGCGGAAGAAGTCTGAGCTTTTATTGTCCTTTCTTCTCACTGACATTTCTCATTTACTTTCACTTTTAGTAACCCATTACATCTTAGTGAAATTATAGCCTTACCTGGGGTGAAATGATTGAACAAATAGAAAGTAAAAGAAGGCAAATGTAAAGAAAGAAAAAAGGATGAAATACATTGTGAGAAATCGAAAGAAAGAAAGAAAATAGATATATAGTAGGAAAGAGGAGACATGCATGAGAAAAAAAAAACATGGGTGAAAAGAAAGAAAGAAAAAAGAATGAAAGAAAGAAAGGAGACGCGTGAAAAGAAAAAGAAGGAAAAGGAGACATGTGAAAAGAAAGAAGTTTGAAAAGAAAGAAAGAAAGAAAGAAAGGAGACGTGCAAAAAGAAAAAAGGAAAATGGCGACATGTGAAAAGAACGGCAACGTTTGAAAAGAAAGAAAGAAAGAAAGAAAGATGTGCGAAAGAAAAAAGAAAGAAAAATGGAGACATCTGAAAAGAAAGGAGACGTTTGAAAAGAAAGAAAGAAAGAAAGAAAGAAAGAAAAAGAAAGAAAGAAAGAAAGAATGAAAGAATGAAAACTAGCATTTGGGAGTTAAGTGTCAAAGACAGAAAGAAATTTCTTTCTTGGCAATTAATAAACTGCATAGATATCTCCTGCCAAGTTCGGTAGTGAGTGAGACTGGTAAATTTGTCTTCGCATTCTGGCATACAAATTATGAAAAGAGAAATTATTGTCTTACTCACTTCCTGTAAAAATGCTGCTTATAATGCATGTATTTAGTATGGTTGGCCGCCTATTTCCTCTAAGGTGTAAAGATAATCCCTACTGCAGTTGCCAGCTTAGGCACATTTGTGTTCTTCAACACCCTGATAGACAACCTGTGGTTTACACTAAAAATATGCTGAGCGAACCCTAGTTAAAGTTTCTGGGAGAGGGCGCATAATTTGGCGTGATCATTAGTTTGAACAAGGCCAGTAGACTCATCACGAAGATTTCTGACATTTTACTTGCTTCAACGAGTTTCATCAACCCAATTTCATTCACAAGACTCTCAGCCACTTGCCAACTGTTCACACACGCCAGGACCATCTCCCCAGTCCGATATTATCGCGTTCACCTCCTTGATAACTCGACCCTGGTGTAATTCATTAAAACCAGAATATATGAATAATTTATAATGAAAGATTATGAGCAACAGCCCAAAGATAGTTCATAAGATCTGGTCGGTTTTCACGATCGTTAAACTATATTTTTAAGCCTTTCATCACGATCTTTTTTTTCCTTTTTGGACAAGACTCTCCTTTCATATTCGTTTTCTACGTGCTTCTGCTCTTTTTGAAACTCTCCAATAATGCGATAAACACCGCATTGCCTACTAAATTTTCCCAAAAACTATGCCATATTCTGGTTTTATATTTTTTTTAATGAATTTTGAATGTTTCAAATGTATAAACACTATTTAAACGCCATTTTATAAATGTACAGAAATAAATGTATTTCCATTTTATTTTTTTCTCAATTTCCCCCAAAGACTATTTTGCGAGATTTTGATCTTTCAGGATTTTAAATTTCGGGATTTTGATCTATCGGAATTTTGACACATATAGGATTTCAAATTTCAGGATTTCAACATTCGAGGTTTTGAAGATTCAGGATTATGATCACCCCAATATATATATATATATATATATATATATATATATATATATATATATATATATATATTAGACATAATAATTTGTTCACTAGCTCGGTTACTAAATCTACTTTCAAAATCTAACACAACGCTAACTGTAGATGCCATAACATAATTTACCTCCTAGAATGCACGCTATGCCAGAAACTATATGTAGGAAAATCTGAATGGCCCTTTCACTAGCGAATTAATAATTATCACAATCGAATTAAGTAGGCTCATAGTGAAAGATTATTACCTGAAGAACAACATTCCCGCCTAGAAAAAGATGATTTTAAAAGCTGTGTAAAATTCACTATAATTGAAATAGAAAAGATAACTTTAGAAAAATACTAGAGGAACATGAAGACAAATGGATTTTGCGCCTCAAAACATTTCCTCCAGATGGGCTTAACCAAAATTTGACAACACAGACAGAATTAATATATAACCCCATAAGTCAACCTCTACCCACATTTATCACCCACACCAGACAGAAATGCTTGCAGCGTTGTTGAGGTCTCACACTTATACACACTCTCACACACACACACACACACACACACACACACACACACATATATATATATATATATATATATATATATATGCAACACACACTTCCCACAAAATAAAAGATAACATAAACTTAACACACATCCCATTCCCAGCAACCAATAAAACTGTCAAAATGACCAAGAAGGGAATTCTGATAGTTAGGAATCTCCTATTCTCGATCTTAAAAACAACTTGAAAGAGTCCGTTTAACTAGCATAAGGGCTGACCAAAATTAACAAATGAAAGCTACAGATAAAGTTCACTTTCTTCAGAAACAGTCATACACTCCTGTACTTCACGGCTACTAACAAACAGGGATTTTTTTCTCCTGATGATGGCCATGCTGGCAGAAACTAGTCAAGGAACCTAATTGAAATAATAAAACAAAAAAAAATATTAATATGCAAACCAGTATGTCTAAAAAGAATTAATTGTTTAAAAAAATTTTATTTAAAAAAAAATTATTGTTCAAAAATATATATATATATATATATATATATATATATATATATATATATATATATATATATATATATATATAATAAAAAATGACAATAGAAAACTGGTAATTGGACGAAACGCGTCAGCAAGTACCAGTTTTCCTATTGTCATTTTTATTCATAATATTGTCTTCTACCGATTAAATCGGAGAAATTTTCTATATATATATATATATATATATATATATATATATATATATATATATATATATATATATATATATATATCTTACCTAAGTGTTTCTTTTACGTAGTAAACGGATGAAAGACAAAACAAGAAAAGTTTTAAGGGTCTTGCTGCAAAACAAACTTCAAACATGTGGTATGGATACTGAGGACTAAGAAACTTTAAGAGAAAATTTGTTAGGATGAGAATGTTAAACGATGTTTAGTTGGCGTTCGACAAAAAGGCGCGGGAGGTTTAATCATGCAATCTTGAAATGGGCCCTTAAAAAGCAATCTATTACAGAACTTAACAAACGTGCTAACTCACTAAGTAATGTAGGAACAAGCAGAGTTTTAATCTGAGTAGGGCAACTAAAATATTATCCAGCCGACCCACTTCCAAAAATTTAACCAAATGGCCAAAAATATTTTCTTTTCTTTGATTTCACCTTATTTTCCATCACTTTAATTCATTCATTTTCTACAGCTTATCAACCCCTTGAAGGTTACTTAAAACCATATAATATTTTTAGATTATAAGAATTTTTTTTTGTTCTTTTGTTTTTTAAATAATAATGATTTTAGTGATACCAGTCTTACTAATTAACTCATAGCTGGGGGAGAATTGGTGGATTCCTATTTTTCCCAAAGGTATTTAGATGAAATTGACTATAACGAACCCAATTGGAATTGGAACACGATTCTCCGATTAACAATTTCGAAACACTATCCAGCATCCAATCCCCCGTCCGCACATCCAATCTTCCGGCACTGAGTATTCCCAATAGGTCATCTATCGAAATACTGAGCTGTTCGTTTATTTAAGATGATAATCTGACGTAAACTTTCAGTAGTTCTTTACATTCCATCATATTTCTTTGATGAAAATTGTTTCCCGAACATATTGGAAACAAATTTGCTTTACCGAAATTCATAGCATCATTATTAAGTCGTTAAATTATTTTCCCTAGCTTTCCGACTTTTTACCTGTTTATTCCATCATAAAAGGACGGTTTCCGTTTTGATGTCATGAATTCTTCGACTAATGTTTCGACAAATCAAGAACTGTTGAAAAAACCGAAACAGTCTGAAAGTCTTGAAGATAATCGGTATATGGATAAACTTCCGATTTCATTACCTTCATCTTTTCATACGTTTACATTACAATGAGCCTTCATCTAGAAAAATCACTAATGTTCTTTGTTTCATTTTTTCTAAACATTTCACCCAATGAAGGCAATAAAGCCACTAGGACACAAGGGGTTTACTGAGTGTTAGAGAATATGAGAAAAAAAACTACTATTCAGTAGAGAGGACAATAAGAGAACAAGAATTAAGAAGGCATAAGATAACGATTGACATTGCATTTAAACTTTTGAAGATCGAAGTTGACTGGAAAACAAGATGCCGGAAGAGAATCCCACAAGCGAGAAGTGCGATAGAAGAAACTTTTAGCATAGAACTTTCGGTTACATCTATCAATTTCAACTGTAAAATGACCAGACCTTTTATTTCATGTGTATATTAGTTATTTGAATAGCATTTTTGTGACTTGACTGGAAGCAAATGTATCCGTATCAACAAAAAATCCATGTTAATGGTAATATTAGCTATTTCATTATCAAGAAATTTTCGGCATCCAGGAGCAAAAGCTGCTGTCGATTGAAATTTATAAAATATTTATCTTAAATAAGTTTTTCAGGAATGTAAGTGAATATGAGAAAAAGAAATCATTATGATGGGAGAACAATAAAAACAGGAATTAAGAAAACAGAAGATAACGATTGTCATTGCATTTAAATTTTTGAAAATCAAAGTTGACACAAAATCAAGAAGCGAGTTCCACAATCAAGAAGTGCGACAGAATAAACTGTTAGCTTAGAGCTTACGTTTAGATCTAGACATATCAACCGTAAAATAATGATACCTAGCCGCCTATCTTGCACTGTGCTTAAATTATAAAGCCTCGGTACCTATGAGGTAAGTTCGTCAGAACAATTATCATGAAAGTATTCACAGAAAAAGACCCAGGGAAGCTATGTTACAGCGATGGGAAATTGACAAAAAAATAAACAATACCTTCGCTCCCAAGAATGTCTGTTCTCTTCAAATACGCCATTTAAACAAACAAGCTGCTTCCAACAGAGATGTGCAGGATCATTTGTCTAGATTCAAGAGCTTCATACTAAAAAATCCTTCACGAATCCAACCAAACACTTTCCTTGTCGATTCCTTTAAAGTCAAATTTTGAAGGTTCTTTCGTATTTAGCTATTAGTTTCTTGAATCTAGAATTCTTATAATGAATCCATTTTTTTTACCTTCGACGATAATAGTAATGATAATATTAGTGAATACCTTATGTTGTGTGTCTCTTCCCTTTTTTTTACATAAGATGGACTCGTCCAAAGTATATTTATACTGACAGAGAGAATACATGCGTTGATTTACGTCGAGATACAGCCTCGACGTCTGTCGAACTCTTTGCTTTGCCAGAGAGGAACCCGGACGAAGCTTTGCCGAAGGGCAAAGTTTCGTCTGGTGAGGTAGACAGGACCTGAACCCGTCTAGGTGGGTTCAAAGGGGATACGTCGAGATACAGTCTCTGTGTGCGACGTCTGTCGAATGAATAAGACGTCAAAGAATGAATAAAACGTTAATAGACATCTTTTGTCTCAGTGAATTCAGTTCTTTTGTTCTCTCTTGGTTTCTTTAACTCTCAGAAAATTTGGATATTACTGACTTTATTGACTTTCTTGGGGTGAAATGATTATCAACTAGTATCTGTTCTCAGCATCTCTAATGGTAATG